CGCCCTCCCCCCCTCTCTTGGACGCCCCCCCCCAGGAGCAGGAGGGGGAGCGGGCAGAGCGGCGCCGGACGGCGGGAGAGCGGGCAGAGCGGCGCCGCCAGGAGGGCCAGCAGGCGGGGGAAGCCAGGGCACCATCCTTGGAGTCGTGAGATGCGTCCCCAGAGCGAGGGATTTTCAGGAGGGGAAAAAACACACAGACACAATTAATCGACGAGTCCCAGGAAAATATGGGAAAATATGGGAAGTGGGGGGGAAGACAAAAAACCCAAAAATATAGGAAAATATGGAGGATAATTTTATTTGTGTGTATTTATTTGTGTGTCCCAGGGCCCCTTCAACCATTCTTTGAGTCGTGAGACGCGTCCCCAGAGCGGGGGATTTGAGAGGAGGTCGGACGGCGCGGGGACGGACTGGCCGGAGGTGATGGCGGCATGCTGCGCCGGGTCACCTGATTGGCTGGCTCGCTTGAACCCCCCCTCCCACCCGCAGTTGGTGGTTTGGGCAGGATTGGTGGGCGCCTGTCGTTGACATCAGCCGCCCTGAGCGAGTGAGTGAGTCAGGCGGGGGAAGCCCGGGCACCATGTTTAAGCCATGAGATGCATCCCCAGAGCATGCGCTAAACTTTGAGACGCTCAAAGCGCCAGGCCGGTCCAGTTTTCGAGCCAAGCATTATCTCAGAATTGCTTCTTTCCATGCATGGTGCTTCAGAGATCTTCTGTTCGAGCGCTTGTCGGACGGCGGCTTCCTGTCTCAGAGCCTCCCAGTGCATGCACGCTGCTGTTGTCAGAGCGTGCGCGTGCACTACCGAAGCCCATTGTAATTTGGGACGGCCTCGGCGGCGCCTTCCGGAGCCAAGGAGTCGAGAACTCCCGCTCTGAAAAACGCTTTGGCACGCCAAAGAATCGTTGGACATGGCGGACAGTTCTCCATGGTACAACAGATGCTCGGCAAGCACGCGCTGGCTCAAACATTGCTGGCTTGCTCTGTACCGCCCACTGCGTTGTTAACGTGTGAAATCATCGAGTATGAAATATCGAACATCTGACGTATACATTGCGCTTGGAAAGCGTTGATCTTGAGCCGGTCTGCCATATGCAGAGAGTGTTTTGAGGCAGTTTGCAGCGCATCGAAAAACGCGCGGGCTTCATCCACACGTCTGGCAACTGATGCCCCTGCTTTCCCGTTGGCCTGGAGGAGGCTGCCTAGGTGGACCGTCGAAGTGACCGTCTAGAGTGGCATGCCCTGCGCCGGGTGGATGTCCGCGCCGCGCCTGCTTCGCAGGTGCACGGTCTTGTCCCAGTTGGGTTCCAGTCCGTACGTGCGCATAATGAAGATCAACCGGCCGAAATAGAATTGCAGCTTTGCGAGCTCGTTCGACACCAGCGCCGAGTCGTCCACGTCCGCCGCGTCAGCGCAATCCGAACGGCGAAACGACGTCCTGCCTGAAGTCCCCCATCAGCACGCTCAACATGATGATAATGATGCTGATGCTGATGCTGATGCTGGTGCTGATGCTGTTGCTGATGATGCTGCTGATGATGATGATGATGATGATGATGCTGATGCTGATGATGATGATGATGATGATGATGATGATGATGATGATGATGATGATGATGATGATGATGAACAAGCATGGGCTTAGAGGGCACCCCTGCGCGATGCTGGAGGACTGTCCGTGTCGGTCACTGCTGCCATGCTCGTCTTTTACCTCGAACGTGCGACCGTGGTAGAAGGCAACGATCATCGTGATATATGATATATGGGGCCCGGTCACGCCAAAACGGGCGACCGTTATCAACAATGCGGAAGGGTTCACCCGGTCGAACGTCTCAGATCGTCTCAGGCCACTCTGACAGGACGGCAGATCGTTTACTGGTTTTTCTGGCCCACTCTTGCTCAATCGACCTGCGAATCATGAAGACAGCATCCTTGGCGCCCCGTTTGATCGAAAGCCGACCTGGCTCGGCCAGAGACTTTCTCCAGCGCCGCCACATGAAATTCTGCCCAGAAGATGCACGGCAAGAATCTTGACGATCACTGCGAGGAAGGACATGGGTCGGTAGTCGGCCAGCAACGACTAGTCCCCTTTCGTGTAGATTGCGTTGACCCTGCTGTGTCGCCACGTCTGCGGAATCTGTTTTAGCCGCCAACGTTTGTTCAAAAAGGTCCAAGGGAAGGGCACATGCATCGTCGATTCCACGAAGAGCTTTCCAGTCCAGCTCCACTTCCTGCCCGGAGCTCGCCGAGCATGCCGCGTAGCTCGGTTGCAGCGAAGTCTCGGGCAGGGAGATCCAGATTCGCATCCTCAGGGGCGCGTTAGGTCCGCAGAGCAAACAGAGCACGGCGCATCCGAAGTCGACGCCCCCTCCTTCCCAGATCTCCGGCGCCGTGGCCTCCTCGTGCCTCTGACCTCCGATCCCGGGGCCGGCCTCTCGCCCAGAGTCGTCAGTGGACGGCCCCGGGCTGCCCGGCCCTCGGACGCCGGACGCCGGCAACTGACAGAAGCTCCTCATATATCACGACGAGAGGCGGTCTGGGCCCCCCTCACCACCCACCAAACCACCCCAACCCAACCCGAAGGCTTCAATTTGCCCTCCATTTCCAGTTGGGGGGGGGGTCGGGGAACATTGAATTACTCCGACGGAAGAACCCCACATAAGAATCCTCTGGGCGAATCTGGAAAAAACCATCACCGTCGTCCTCGTGGTTGGTGAGGCGTCCTGGCTGTCTCTTCTGCGTATATTTCCTGTCGCCTTGGCGCGGGCCCCCCTTCCACTCCTTACGTTGTCCCCATCCTCGCCCCCCTGTTTGTTCCGCGCCCCGCCACCTCCTCCCCTTCCTGTTGCATGAGCGCGCATGTCGATGTTCCTCGGCGCCGTCGCCGCCACGGCCAGCACAGGCGCGTTCTCTACTGGTCACGTCGCGCAGCCGTTGGGACAACCCCGCGGGCCAGGCTGTCGGGACAACCCCGCGAGCCGTTGGCGCGCAAGACCAAGCCGTTGGGACAACCCCGCGGGCTTCGAGCGAGGCGCAGCCGCGCTCAGGCGGAAGGCAGCACGAAGCCCAGCTCTGCCGCGAGCTGCTTCGCCTCCGCCCTGGACAAAACCGCTTGAGACTTCCTCCATATTCAGGCTTGACGAGCCCAAAAGTGACGACAGTTACAGGGTTCCGATGACCCGCTCGGATTACCAACATGATCTGCGGGCCCCATAGGGAGGGAGCTCCCGCCTGAGCCTTCCTCAGAATTCACTCACAGACGAGGCTCCCGCCTGAGACTTCCTCCAAATTCAAGCTTGAGGAGCCCAAAAGTGACGACAGTTACAGGATTCCGATGACCCGCTCGGATTACCAACATGATCTGCGGGCCCCATAGGAAGGGAGCTCCCGCCTGAGACTTCCTCCCAATTCACTCACAGACGAGGCTCCCGCCTGAGACTTCCTCCATTTTCAGGCCTGGGGAGCTCAAAAGTGACGACAGTTACAGGATTCCGATGACCCGCTCGGATTACCAACATGATCTGCGGGCCCCATAGGGAGGGGGCTCCCCCCTGAGACTTCCTCACATTTTACTCACAGACGAGGCTCCCGCCTGAGACTTCCTCCAAATTCAGGCTTGAGGAGCCCAGCAGTGACGACAGTTACAGGATTCCGATGACCCGCTCGGATTACCAACATGATCTGCGGGCCCCATAGGGAGGGAGCTCCCGCCTGATACTTCCTCCCAATTCACTCACAGACGAGGCTCCCGCCTGAGACTTCCTCCATTTTCAGGCCTGGGGAGTTCAAAAGTGACGACAGTTACAGGATTCCGATGACCCGCTCGGATTACCAACATGATCTGCGGGCCCCATAGGGAGGGGGCTCCCGCCTGAGACTTCCTCACAATTTATTCAACGATGATGAGGATGAGGATGATGAGTGGTGGTGAAGATGAGTGGTGAAGAGGATGACGATTGATTGTGAGTGGTGGTGGCGATGATGATGTTTGAATGAGGATGATGCCGATGCCGATGATGATGATGATGATGATGATGTTCATGAGCGTGTGAGAGAGTGCGAGTGATGATGATGATGAGTATGTGAGTGACTAAGCATGTGAGAGAGCATCATCGATGATGCTGATGAGGTTGATGATGAGAGAGTGTGAGTGAGTGTGAGTGTGTGTGTGTGTTCCTGTTCCTGCGCGGGGTGTCCAGAGAAAACAAGAACCCCACTTTGGATGTGGGGAGAAAACACATCTGGAACCCGTACCCCCCCCAACCCGAAATTGGGGTCTTCGGGTTGGGTTGGGGTGGTCTGGTAGGTAGTCACCCCCCCCTCCTCCACGTGGTCTTGGAGGCATGACTCGGAGCTCCAGCGGCCGCTCGGGGCGATTTTGGTTGTTGGAGATCGCCGGATGTTCCGCACGACGGGACTGGGGAGGGAGAAGTTAGCACAAAGGCGAACATGCGCTGCCTTTGTATGAAGATATGCGACAACACAGGACATGGAGAGGAAGAAGGACGTCCAGGAAAGACTGCCACATAGCACCAGACGTGCGACGTCTTGTTTTTTGTCAGGACGGCGTCCCTGGAAGTCCCGACCCTTTCCCCGGGACCGGTTTTTCTTCCTGAGTCGCTTTTTGACGGTCCCGAGGCCCAGCGAGGGCCCCCCGTGCCGAAACTGTCCAAAAACCTCCCGGCTTGCTTTTTTGTGGCGACGCGATCATGTCTGGGGCGGAACTCCTTGGAATATATTTGTGTACGTTATGTTCTTTTCTCATGACTCGAAAGTTATTTGTTTTTTTGGGGGGCCAAGATCCTTTCATTTCTAATTGTTCTATCCTGGGCCTATTCCTGGCCACTGGGGGGCCAGGAACAATCAGAAACGAGCACGATTAGAAATGAGCACGCTTAGACATGAACGACGTGTATCTCTGTGTGTCTCTCTGGGCCCCGTTGGAGCGAAGCAGCTCCTCCCTCGGCACGGGGCCGCGGGGCGGGGGCCCCGGCGCGCAGGGCGGCGGCGGCGGCCAGTCCCTGGACGGCATCGTGCGCAGCGTGGCGGCCAAGGCCCACCCCCCTGTGTCGGCCACGCGCAGAATTTCGGGGGCGGCAAGGAGGGGGGTGATGACTAAGGTTCGTTAAGTCGGGCGTGTCCCTCTACAGGAGGGAAATTCCAAAATAGTTTGAAAAATAGTCTGGGGACGATTTTTTCTAGTTTTCCTAATTGTTTTTTTTTTTTTTTTTTTTTTTTTGTATTTTCATGTTTCGCCCCAAATCCCCCTGTTAGTAGGGGGACACGCCAGACTTAACACGACTAAGGGGGGATGGATATCATGGCGTGGTCCATGATATTTCTCCAGATTTCATGGCGCCTCTGCTTGTTCCAGTACGTCCCCGCCTACCCCCCAGGGCCGCGCACATGCCGCCCGCCATGGTTTGCCCCCCCCCCCCCCCTCTTGGACGCCCCCCTCTTGGCCGCCCCCGAAGAATGAATGGGGCATGGGGGAGGGAGGGCTCGTTTCGATTCCTCCGATTCGATTCGATGCGATCTCGATTGCTTCCGATGCCGCTTCGATTCGGCCCAGGAGTCCGATCTGGGCTCCGATGTCTTATGGGAGGCATACTGGTCTGCCGATTCCACTCTTCCCGACTTGGCTGCCTCAGTTTCGCCAATCCGATTCATTTCGATCGCCGATCCGACGTATCGATTCGATTCTGGGCTCTCCTGAGGGAGGGAGGAAGGTTTCTGAGAAGCACCTCTGCTTCTTCAAAGGCGCGGGCCTTCTTTGTAGATGCAAGGCTAGCGCCTTCTAAGAAGCAGCCTCCTTTTAAGGAGCCTCCCCCCCATCCCCCATACCCGCTTTGTGCTTGCCGCCAACAGAAAGACGACGCAATATTTTTGGTTTGGGGCGTTGCAGGGGGAGGAGGAGACGGAGCAGGTCGACGGGGCGACCGGTGGCAACGAGCTCCGGGCAGCCGGGACAGAGGCCAATGATGACCACAGGAAGACACAGGGGAAAGCATCAGAGGACGAGCCGCCGAAGGCGAAGGGCAGCACGAATGAGAGGCGAAGGGGAAGGGAATGGGGTTCTCGTCGACATGGCACTGGCCCTGAGGTTTCTTCTGCATCCCAGGGCCCTTCACGGGGCCTGGGGCTGCGCGAGACGGCTCATGCAGCTGGCGTCGGGAGGAGGCCCTGGGGTCCAAGACGGGTTTCCCTCAGGATCCACATTGAGTCGTGCCAGCGGAGGGGTGAGGGCAAGGGGCGTGTGGATGTCGTGACTGGGCCCTGAGTACTCCAGGACTTCTTGGCCCGCTGTTCTTCCAATGCTCGCGTAGGGGATCGACTACAGAACTGACTTACCCCCAAATTCGTTTCTCGTCGAATCTACAACACAAACACTTCGAATGTTCCGCCGACGTAAGGAGAACATGCTTTACGCACTCGTCGGAGAGCCGATGGGGAAAACCAGTATCGGGGTAAATCAAGTCCAAACGCTTCGCGTACCCCCACCGGCCCGTCCAGAAATGAGCCCCAGGGGAGTGGAGGTGAGGAGGGGAGCGGGGGAGCATGCAGAAGAGCAAGGGGCGGGGTAAGCCGCCATGTACCCCAAGAGGGGGAGGATGTAGGTCGAAGCGCCTCCCCTGGTCTCCCCCCGTCCGCGCTGACGCCTCGGGCCACGGTGCGCTCTCCTCCTCCTCCTCCTCCTCCTCCTCCTCCTCCTCCTCCTCCTCTTCCTCATCCTCCTCCTCCTCCTCCTCCTTCCTCGTGCGCCCGGTCTGCGGCGGACCCGAGTGGCGGAAGACGCCGCGAGAAGTGAAGCAAAGAGGCTTGCTTCAAACAGAGAGGTGTTCGTCCGAAGTGTTCGGATGTTTGTGGGGCCCGGGGCGGTTTCTTTTAGCATTGGCGCCTCCTCCTCCTCCTCCTCCTCCTCCTCCTCCTCCTCATGCCCTCGGTCTACGGCACACCCGAGTGGCGGAAGGCGCCCCGAGAAGTAACATAAAGAGGCTTGCTTGTGACAAAAGATGTCCGTCGGAAGTGTTCGGATGTTTTCGTGGGGCCCAGGGTGGTCTCTTCTAGCACCTGCGCCTTCTGGAGAGCGTTCCGACGAGGAAGCCAGAATAAGGATCCTGAACGGCCGCTCGAGGCCCGAAGTATGGTCCGAAAGCCAGCTGAGTGGGATCGGGGCGCACGTGATTCGTGGAGATCGGCGCTGGCGTGGGTCCGGCGATCGCAAACATGGATAAAGGGGGCGTGGATTAGCGACGGGTCCCGTTTCCATGGGAAATCGCGGGTGTCCGCCGCCGAAGGAGGCGGCACTGGCGGCATTTTGGGGAGGGCACGTCCCCCGATCCATGGATTTGGCGATTGCGCGCCAGATCCATGGATCGCTAATCCATGTTTGCGCGCCCCCGAATGGTGATCGGCGCTGGCGTTAAGTGGGGCGTGTCCTTCTACAGGAGGAATCTGCAAAACAGGCAGAAAATTTGTCTGGGAACGATTTGTTCTACCATTGTTGATTATTTGTTCGTGCAATGTTTTGACTACTTTGCATTTCCCGTCCGGAATCCGCATGTAGGAGGAGATGCCCGACCTAATTCAGGAGGAAAAAACACAGAAACAATGAATCGTCGACTCTCAGGAAAAACTCTGCAAAAACATGGGAAGTGGGGGGGGATTTGTGTGTATTAAATTGTGTGCCCCAGGGCCCCTTCACTAATGCTGGCGTGGGTCAGCCAGTCCCCTCTCTTAGATCCTCGAGCCGAACCACCCCGGGGCCGCCGCCCCTCCCCCACCTCTCCCCGCCGACCTGGGCTGGGGAGCCGTCTCCTCCTCCTCCTCCTCCTCCTCCTCCTCCTCCTCCTCCTCCTCCGCCTCCGCCTCCGCCTCTTCCTTCTCCCCTCCTCCTTCTCTTCCTCCTCCTCCTCCTCCTCCTCCTCCTCCTCCGCCTCTTACTTCCTCCTCCTCCTCCTCCTCCTCCTCCTTCTCTCCTCCTCTCTCCTCCTCCTCCTCCTCCTCCTCCTCTCCTCCTCCTCCTCCTCCTCCTCCTCCCCCTCCTCCGCATCATCATCATCCTCTTCCTCCTGCTCCGCCTCCTCCTCCGCCTCCTCCCTTCCTCTTCCGCCTCCTCCTCCTCCTCCGCCTCCTCCTCCTCTTTCGCCTTCTCCTCCTCCGCCTTCTCCTCCGCCTCCTCCTCCTCCTCCTCCTCCTCCTCCTCCGCCCCGTGTTCGCGATGAGGCTTTGGCCGACCGGGGTTTGCGCTGACCCAGGCTAGCACGTCGCCGGCCTCGTGCGTTTCAGCTTGTTCAGTGGAAGCCCATTCTAAGCTGAAGTGCACGAGGGCTCCTCGTGTAGCGGGCTGGACCCCAGAGCCGTCGACTGAGTGTTACATTGTCGCGCACGTTTATTCAAAGTAGCTCCTGGCATGCGATGCCGATACGTGACGGCGCTGGCAGTCGATAGTACTGCCATCCGCCAGCGCTACAGGCACGCAGGTTCTTCTCCCAGACTTACGGCGGAACAATAACTTCAAGCCCGGATTCGTGTCCTCGATCTCGGCATGTGGGGGGCCCTCTTCGGTCCCTGGGGCCATCAGCTGCGAACCCAGGACGACAAGCCACCCCAACGGACCTGGTTGAAACCTTCTTGGTGCCTGCGGACGGTTGGAAAAATTAATCCACCGGACGGCGGAGGTCTGGGGGGAAAGCCATGGCCTCGCTGCTCCCTCCGTTGGGTTTCGCGGCATACATCCCCGCCGCGGGGGGGTAGGTTGGCGGCGCTGATGAGCCCTGGCCACTCGGGATGGGGATGGGCCCCCAGACATGCGATGTTTCATTCCCAAACATCCTGCGGTGCTGGGTCCTCGTTTTCAAGAGGCAGCGCCCCGCGTCCCTCCCTCCCTCCCGCCTCCTCCTCCTCCTCCTCCTCCTCCTCCATGCGTTTCACCCACTCAGTACAGCGCTTCGTGGCCCCATAGGGAGCTCCACCGAAGGCCCCCATGGCAGGGTTCGCATGCGGCCCCGCGTTTTGGCGTACCCCTCACACGGTTCGTGGCCCCATCGGGAGCACCACCGAAGGCCCCGATGGCAGGGTTCGCATGGCGGCCCCGCATTCTGGCGCACCCCTCACACTCTTCGTGGCCCCATAGGGAGCTCCGTTGAAGGCCCTGACGGCAGGGTTCGCATGGCGGCCCCGCCCCATGTTGGCGCACCCCTCACACGGTTCGTGGCCCCATAGGGAGCTCTACCGAAGGCCCCAATGGCATGGTTCGCATGGCGGCCCCGCTCCATTTTTGCGCACCTCTCACACGGCTCGTGGCCTCATAGGGAGCTCCACCGAAGGCCCCCGTGGCAGGGTCCGCATGGCGGCCCCGCCCCATTTTGGCGCACCCCTCACACGGCTCGTGGCCCCGCAGGGAGCTCCACCGAAGGCCCCAGTGGCAGGGTTCGCAGGTTGTTGGCGCACCCCACACACGGTTCGTGGCCCCAAAGGAGCTCCACCAAAGGCCCCAGAGGCAGGGTTCGCATGGCGGCCCCCCCCCAGTTTGGCGCATCCCTCACACGGTTCATGGCCCCGCAGGGAGCACCACCGAAAGCCACAGTGGCAGAGTTCGCCTGGCGGCCCCGCTCCATTTTGATGCATCCCTCACACGGTTTGGCCCCATTGGGAGCTCCACCGAAGGCCCCAGTGGCAGGGTTCGCATGGCGGCCCCGCCCCAGTGTGGCGCACCTCTCACACGGTTCGTGGCCCCAAAAGGAACTCCACCGAAGGCCCCAGTGGAAGGGTTCGCATGGCAGCCCCGCCCCATTTTGGCGCACCCCTCACACGGTTCGTGGCCCCATTGGGAATTCCCCTTGCTTCGTCCCATTCGCCCTGCGATTCTCACATTTGCGTATGGTTGGGTCCTTCGCCAGGAAAATGTTTCAATGCGGGGTCCCAGGGCAGGCGATTCATCCCGTGGTCTTGGAGCCCGAAATTTATCCCACAGGCGCATCCATCCAGGTTTGTGTTGTTGCGGATGTCTTGGCCTCCTGACCTCAGCATGAAGTGATGGGCAAATTTTCCAGCACCACTGCCATATGTAAGACGGGGGAGAGAGGAGGATGAGGAGGTCTTCTTCCTTGTTCTCCTCCTCTGCCTGCTCCTCCTGCCTATGGTAGTGGTGGTAGAACATGGGCCCATTATGAAATATTGGGGCCCTCAGGGAAGGGGGGCACCTGTAGGTCGTATCGCTGTTCTGGATGTTCTCGTCGCCAAGGCTGGGGTCACCTTCGAAGAATTTGTCAGCATCTACCATCTACCTTGTCGGGGGGTCTAGATCGCTGTTGAGCGGATTCTGGAGAAGTGGCATGAAGAATGAGGGTCCAGACGACAAGGGATCTTGACGGTCTTCGTCTTTTCCTGGCTCAGGGCCTTCGATCCCGAGGTCCCAAGACCGTCAGAATTCCGGCACCGTGCACCATAGTGTGATGAACAAGGGTAAACAAATCCACTTGGAGAGGAAAAATACTGGAACATGTTTCGACCCGCGGATGCAGTTCTCTTGTGGGCGCGCCACTGTCTTGGCTTACCAGTGCCTCCGATCACGTGGTCTTGGCAGAACATACCTCCGGAAGAAAATCCGATCCTGGGGGAAAACCCCGGCGTCTTCGGGCGGGCGGTAATGGGGGGGGGCGGCCTAGATGGGGGGGTGAAGACAAGGGCCACTTTCGAGCCGCAACCACGCGGACCCCTGAGGCACTGAGAAGCCATCAACATGCACTCGAGTGTCCCTGGGATGTCCTTGGGCAGTCTCGCAAGATCACAAGCACAAATCCTCGTCCTCGTCCTCTCCCGATTATCCGAGCCCGGGGCTACTGCAAGTTTTTGCCCTCTTCATTCTACTGCTGTCGGCTTGCGTCCGGGAGGATAGCCCTCTGGAGGGGCCGCGGATTTCAAGAGTGGCGGAGCGATCGACTCGAACCTTCAAGCGATTTCGTTGCGTTTTTTTTTTTTGTTACAAAACACACACACACACAAGCATAAATGCCCTACAGACGGGGGGGGGCGAAGGCAAGCTTGGAGCCTCTCACTTCCCCCCACCCCCCCCGGTGCAGGCAGCCCCCCCCCCCTACCGCGCGCCCGAGGTCCAGGCCCCGTCTCCACTACATACATAGGAGCCCTCCCTCCCTCAGGAGGAGAAGAAACGCACAGACACACTGAATCTTCGACTTCCCCCCCAACACGTTGGAAACTATGGGAAGTGGGGGGGAAGACAGAAACCCCGAAAATATTAGAAAACATATGGGGAATATGTTCCTTTGCGTGTATTTTTTTTTTGTGTGCTCTGGGGCCCCTTTGCTCCCGTCCCAGCGTCCCCCTCCCGGACGCGTGCCGCCCCGATGTGTTCGGGACGGCGTCCCTGGAGGTCACGGCCCTCTCCCCGGGACCGGCTCTTCCGTCCTGGATCAGTGTCTGGCGGTCCCGAGGCCCGGCGAGGGCCCCCCCGGTCCGAATCGGGAGCCTTGAGACGGGGGTCAATGCAAACGGGGGTCAGCCAGAGCGCCAGATCCTGCAGGATCTTGCAGGGCCGGGCTCCCATTGACCCGGGTTTGGGTGCAGGATCCTGCAGGATCTTGCAGGATCCTTCGCATTGACCCGGGTTTGGGTACAGGGTTTGGCAGGATTTTGTAGGATTCTGCAAGGCCTGGCTGACCCGGGTCTGGATTGACCCGGGTCAGAAGATCCCCGTCCGAAAATAGCCAACCCCCCCCCCGTCCTGACTTTTTTGCGACGCGGTCATGTCTGGGCTCCCTTCTCGCCAGCTCCTCCTTGGGAGGCCCAGAGATTGGCACCAACACCAACACAGGGGGCTGCCTCCACAGGGAGAAGATGATCCTCGATTTCGGTGTTGGTGGTAATATTTCGGTCACTTTGGGAGCCAGAATATTACCACCATCACCGAGATCGGGATCCTCTTCCCTCAGTGGAGGAACACCGCCGATATTGGTGTTGGTGTCAACCTCTAGTCCTGCCACTCCTCGCTCCCTCCACGCCCCCCCCCCGGGGGACGCAGGTTGTTGACGAGGCCAGGGCGAACCTGGTGGTCGACGACTCCCCCTCCGCGCGGGAGCCCATTCGGTTCTGCCCCCGCCTCTGTGCTCCTAGGAGGAGGGAGGCAGGATTCGTGTTTTCTCCGCGCGGCCCCCCCATGATCAGAGGAGGAAGAGGTACCCATACCGCAACCCTTTTCCTTCGTTTTCCTCCTTTTTGGGCCTCCTGGGAGGCCCTCGTCGCCACCGCTGGATTCGCTCCGAAATTCTGGTCAGAACGCGCCCTGGGAGAGGTCCGGGGAGTAGCGGTAGCCAGGGGCGGCCAAGAGGGGGGCGATGACTAGGGGGGGGGATATCATGGCGTAGGCCATGATACGTCCTCAAATTTCATGCGCCTTTTCTTATTTCATTGTGTCCCTGGCCCCCCCATTGGGCCGCGCACATGCCGCTGGCCATGAGTTGCGCCCCCCTCTTCTTGGACGCCCCCCTCTTGGCCGCCCCCGAGGTAGGTACCTTTTGGTTTCCCCACCTGACGCCTGAGAGCTGCAATTTGTGCACGCTGGGCGATGGCGCTCGGTGTCGCGCGCCCCGCGGGGTCCTCAAAGGGCGACCGGGCTCGAGACATACAGCATCGAGGAAGCTGTTTTCATATGCTATCCCCTGGTGATGACGGGCGTAATCTGGAGGGGGGGAGGGGGGATGCCGTTTGGGAATGCTTGAAGTAGCCAACTCCCAGATGGTGCCAGCGCGAGTCGTGACGTGACAATGGGGGGGAAGGGGCCAGGCGGGGCCGGTAACAGGCGTCACCTCGAATACTACAATCGGGCTCAAGATGGGGTCCAGGGTTTTGATCATTGCTTCACGATGCTGCGTGTTGTTCGTGAAGTAGGATCTTGAGTGGCTCCCAATCCGATGCAGCCTAAACGAGGGCTGGGAGTCCAGGAAATGAGCCACGCCCCCCCCCCCCCCCTGCGACCCTAAGTCCTGAGTGGGGGGTAGAGGCGAGGAGAGCAGAGGAGAGGAGAGGAGAGGAGGGGATAGGAGGGGAGAGGAGAGGAGAGGAGAGGAGGGGAGGGGAGAGGAGAACGGAGGGGATGGGCGAGGAGAGGAGAGGAGATCTGCTCCGCGTAAGAGTGACCTCTCGCTGGAGAAACCTTGGGTGCCGGGCTCACAGGGGTGGCGCTAGCAACGGCCTGCGCGCTTGAATCTGCCCCACCCACCACGCGTCCCCAAAATTGGTGATCGTTTTTGTTATTCATTGTTTTGTCGACCGGCGCGGGCCCTCGCATCCCCCCTCCTCCCCCCCGATGGAGGAGATCTTGGCTGTTTTGGGCGCTTGTTTCGAGCAGGTGGGGTCTCCCCCACAGGGCGCACTGCTGCAAACAGTCGCACTAAGCAGAGGTCCGAGCCAGACCCCCCCCGCTCCCCACCCCTTCCGCCCATTGTCGAAACGCCGGATCGACAAAAACGCTCACAAGGTTAGTATTGCACAGGGTCAGGCTTGCGTGTAGGCGAGGAGAGGAGAGTGCAGGTTGGCTGGGCATCGGCTGCGTTGCAGTCGGTCTCGTTCGGTCTGTTCGGTTCGGCATGTCGTTGTGCCGTTGCCATGTCGGTGCGCCCTTCTTGGCTGCTTGCGGCACATCGGCTTCGGTCGGCTTCGGTTTCGCTGTTAGATCGGTCGGTTCTCAGCTGTGCAGTGGCGCGGACTGCCTTCAGAGGAAGAGGGGAAGGAGGAGGAGGAGGAGGAGGCGGAAAAAGGAATGGATAATGAATGCGATGAGGAGGAGGAGGAGGCGGAAGTGGAGGAGGAGGAGATAGAGGAGGATGAGGAGGAGGAGGAGGAGGAGGAGGAGCAGAAGGGAGGAGCGAAGCAGGAGGGAGGACGGCATCGGCTAAGGAGGGTGCGCTCTTTCGTGCCCGTGCAGTGTTCGAGCTGACAGTCGTTGAGTTTGCCATTGGCCGTCGGCTTGAAGTGGAGCGGCATATCAGGGCAGCTCCGCGTCGCCACCGCGCGCACAGTTCTCGTAGATGCTCGCCGTTTTCCTTCTCCCCCACGTTCCCTCCATCCTCGTTCTTGTGGACTCTCCTCATCCTTTATCATCCCCTCCTTCCCTGTTCAATTCCCCTCCTGTAGCCCTCCGTCCCCGCCTCCTCCTGCTCGTCTTCCTTCCTCCTGAGCTGTTTCCCTAGGGGTGGCCCTGTCGTTGGCCCCTGGCAGGGTGTGGCCCCCTGCCAGGGTGTCAGAAAAGGTCCTCTCCGATGGACCCCCCAGGGGCAATTTGGACTCGTCGGGCCCTCTCTCTTTCTCTTTTTGCCCTGCGCGACGTATCACCTTCTGCCACCTCATCCTGTATTGACCCCCCCCTCTCGGCCGAGATGCATCGCATCGCTTCTGCTCCACCGCGTGGCGTTTGAATATTTATCTGGCCCTCCATACGCAGCAATAACGGCGGATGTCGAGGATGCCATCGCCATTATGCTTCTGTTGTTGATGATGATGATGATGATGATGATGATGATGATGATGATGATGATGATGAGGGTGATGAGGGTGATGAGGAGGATGATAATGATGAGCACGATGCTGCTCATGATGCTCATCAGCATCGCCATCATCATCGCCATCATCATCATCATCAGCAGCATCAGCATCATCATCATTATCATCATCAGCAGCATCGTCACCATCACCGTCATCATCAGCATCATCATCAGCAGCATCAGCATCAACAGCATCATCTGCATCATCATATTTTCGCCCTTCACAACGGCAAGGGGGAGGAGGAGGCCCGCGCCCAGGCGCGAGCTCGAGGAGCCGCCTCCGCCGCTGCTCGAGGACCCTCGCGGTGGTCGCTGGCGTGGGGAGAGGGGGGGGGCTCCTCCCTCCTCCTCTGCCTCCCCCTTCTCCTTCTTCTCCTTCTCCTCCTCTGCCTCCCCCTCCTCCTTCTCCTCCTCCTCCTCCTGCTCCTCCTCCTGTTTCCTCCCCCTCCTCCTCCTGCTCCCCCTCCTCCTCCTCTTCCTCCTCCTCCTCCTCCTCCTCCTCCTCCTCCTCTGCCTCCCCCCTCCTCCCTCCTCCCTCCTCCATCCCCTCGAGAGGTTTTGGGCGCCGTACCAGGTACGGCGTACCTGTCGCGTGGGGACAGCTGCAACGCGTGCTTGCCCGCCCGACCAGCAGGGGCAGCCGCGCCAGATCGCAATTGCCACGGCGAGCCTCTGGCGTCCTCGAGAGGACCCAGCGTGCACCGGCGCCTCCCCAAGGAGCGCAACAGAGCCAGGTTGCTGGCGCAGATAGCTACAGAGACGGACTTGCTCAGCCGACACCACAGCAACCCAATGGCCAAAGGAAGGAATGCTCGTGACGGGTGGCAGCAGGAACGTGAGCATCGACCGCCGCCTTGGACCACGACTGTGGGAATGTCCAGCATGTTCGTTCCACAACGTCTGGGCAGCCGCAGCATGCGTGAAGTGTCGTCTTCACACATCACGCACACCTTCTAGGTAGGCTTCGACGCAGGGCTGCATCTTCGCAGCCACCCAAGCAGAAGGCCGACGCCCCAACCCAGACGGAAGACCTCATTCCCATTATGCCCGCGTCGCCAGAGTGCGCCACCTCGCACAAGAGGCGGCGCGATCCACCAGCAGATGCACAGCAACTGGGAGAGTTCCGAAACACTTTGACGGCCACCATGGAATCTTTAGAAAAGCAGATTTGCTGCGCCGCGGACATGAAGCTTGGAGATAATCCGATCAATGCCTGGAGGTACGAGTACGGTGTAGCCTTGTACCAGATGATGCATTCCAGACCGCCACAAGCACGAGTGCATAAACAACTTTTATTCGTCAGCAGATGCCGCAAGGGGCTCATGGACTCACAGGCCCGCTACAAAATGCTCCAGGAGGCGCTAGACGCGGCCTCAGAAGGCGCTAGACGCGGCCTCCGAGCAATGTCAGGCGTTGCAGGGCGAACGAGCACAATCAGAATCGTTTTTCGAGCATTGCGAGGAGTTGGAAGATGAACAGCTTTTCGCCACAGCAGTTTCCAATCCTTGGGACGATGGCGACGAGGATCTCGTGGAGGAGGACGAAGACAACAACGTTCGCTCGCGGCCATTACAGCGCGATGCATCAGGTGCTGCCGCGCAGCAGACTTCCTTCGAGAAGACTGCACGCGCGTCCGCACCGCCACCCAAGGGAAGTTCGCCGCAGGGGACCACGCCATCCAGCGGCACCATCATCACCACCAAGTGTCAGATCAGCTGAACGAGGAGCAGGACCACAGCGCCCAGCATCTCAGCCTCATGCGCAGGTACGACTTAGAGAGGCGGCAGCTGCCTCCACGAGCACCGACGTCAGCAAGCGGGCCTTGTTAGCCGCCTTGCAGCAGTCCAACTTACAGATGCCCCACACCATGAAGACATTCCAGCAGGCGGCATCCACTCTCCGGAATGACATCAGCCACATGAGGTCCGAGCAGCAGGCAGAGAAGAGCAAGATATCCGAGATCGCAGCATAAGCAGCCAGGAAAGCCATCGCCCCGACCCCGATCAAGAAGGATCGCCACTCCCCGGAGATCACGCCTGAAGCGCAGCAAGCAGGACGTGAATGGATGGCAGCTGCGCTGCAAGGACGACGCCCAGCCAGGTCCGCCTCGCCCCGCCGTCACGGCGACAGCGGACAGGCAGGGGCGAAAGTCCTGCGCGCAGACGTCGATGGTGCAGGTCTGCTAGGCAGCGGCGCGGAGGCAGTCGCCGCGTGCGAAGCAGCAGATGCAGCAGCAGTCAGAACCAGGGCGGAAGCTACAGAGCCCGCCAGTGACACTGAGCCCCTTGCAGCCACTCTAGCGAGTGGCACGTCTGCAGCCAGTTCGTTTTTTCGCTCATGGCCGTGTCAGACGCGTCCTGGCCTGAGAATTCGGATTCGTTGCGTTCCAAGGTTTTCCACCACCCTGCCAGTTATGCATCGGGAAGCCCAAGGGAATCGCGACCGGCACCTCGGATGCGGCCAGCGTGCCCCCTCTACCCAAGGCACCCCTTACTCTCCCATCCCACTGCTACCTGCCACAAGGAAGCTGTTGGAAAGACCTTTGTCACGTCAACTCTCCGCGGACACGTTCAGCTTGGCGCAATGTTGGCACTCGTCGACCATCTCAGCTTTCGACAACTTGGTCCCCCTGCCAACTGATGCACCCATAGATCAGGCGCGCATTTACACTGATGCCACAGCAGGAGGCTTCAAGCATGAAGGAGAGCGTTGCAACCCAGCATGGGCATTTCGTGGGCTTGCTACGACAGTCATGGGCCTCTCGCTTGTTGGATTCATGGCAGTTCCGCGAGAAGGCTGGGACGCTTCTGACGCGCGCGCCCCATTGTGAGCAGGGATGCAAGCGGCCATTTGGGCCAAAACTTGGCCAGCGCAAGCGGCGCCGCTCCTTCGCCGAGCCCCGGTATGTTTCTACGCAGATAACATGGACGTGCTTAGGGTGTACGCGGGAGGATATGCGCAGGTGGCCCTCCGACCCATCAAATCACTACTTGATGGACTCATTCAAGCTATGCGCATGCGTGTCATTGCTATAGCAGATGAGCACATGCGCGGGCATATAGCACATCCGTGCAACGTGTGTGTCGACGCGCTTGCCAGGTTGGCTGCGACGCGCACCGCGCCTGCACATGCCGAGCTGCCATGGTTTCACGCGCTATCACAGGGTATACACAGCACAGCTCTTCCATGGTTAAGGCTGGCGTGGAAGAGCATGCTTGTGACTGCCCCACGCGCCCGCGCGCCTGCAGCCAGTCGCACGGCGACGGCCCAGCAAGCGCAAGCAACCTTTTTCGAGCTAGTCCGTCCAGCAGGAGTGCCAGTGCCTGACACTGACCCCTCGCTCCCGATATGCCAAATCAAGACACGATTACCAGCGTTGCAGTGCACGCGGCGCGGTTGCCCAGGGGGCGCAGCCAAGAGCTCGAGACAGCACATTGTGCGTACACTCTACAGTGCAGTACACGTAGGGTCACGATTCATGGGGGGTGGAAGAGTGCGCGCGTCGCGCCCGGTCGCCCTCGCATCCAGAAGACACTTGCGAGACCACCTTGCATTCGGAGCGCCGGTTTGCCACCTTGCCTGCAGGATGCATGGCACTACTATCGGCGCCGCGCAGGATTTTGACGATGGCGCGCAGCCTACCCCGCATCGGCGCAGCATCCGGAGGACGGCCTCTACCCGTCAGCTATGCTGGCAGTAGCCCTCTTTGATGACGGCCAGGCTAGAGGGATCATGCAGGAGTCTGCCCACGAGTTTGATCCGATCCCCCTCCCCGCCTACCAGGACGCATTGAAGAACCCACCTGAACCGCCGACCCCGGAGCAGCCTCTTTTCCCCGACCGCCCTTGCACATACAGGTCCCATGAATGCACTTCCAGCGCAGCTCAATGGGTGCCGTGCCGCATCCATCGCGAAGAAGCATGTGCAATCAACTTGTTTCCAGGATGGAGACGAACGAGCGACGCGCAATCCTGGATCGATGGGGACTTTTTTCACGACCGAGTGCACGTAACCATGCTTTGCGTTGGCATGGCCATTGACGATGCCATGGGAGACCTGGCTCGCGCAGATACCACGCGTGAATGGGAGCGCATCCTATCCAAACGGGTCTGGAACACGGGGGGGGGGGGGGGGCCTGTGAAACCTGGAGCGCAGCCCATTGGCTGGAAGGGCCCCCCCCCCCCACGCACGCACGAATGGTTCTGGGGTGCGCCGTGGGTCAATGACAGACAAGCCGCGCCAACTGCAAATAAGAGGGATCTTGTTGCAACATCTGGTGTACCTTCTGGGGCGCCGCATGGTGGCAGGGGCGTCGGGTTGGATAGAGCACCCTGCTCCCCCGCGGTGGAGGCCCCCAGTCCCTAGCAGTTCCCAGTGGGAGCCCATAAAGGCCCTAGTCGCGTCACCTGTGGTCACTACTGCCGACTTCGACCAGTGCGTGCACCAACCCGCCGACATGGACCCCGCAGAATGCGGGCGCGGACCGGAGCGTCTTTTGGGGGTTCGGTTAGAGCGTCTAGCTCCCCGACTCACCGACTCACCGCGTCAAGGGCAGTCACACCGCCCACCAGGAGCCCGCAGAGTCCTTCGAGGACAAGAAGTTACCACTGAGGGCCACCCTGCTTTCAGAACCAACGCCAAGAAAACATGCCCAGCGGAGATGTGCTGCCGCCTAACCAGAGCCATCTCTGCCTCCATCACGTGCATATACGCTGATGAGGAAAAAAACAGATTGTCTGCCAGATCCAGACCCGGCGTTAGTGGAGGGACTACGCCGCTTGTGTATTGCTGAAGTGGATCAAGATTTCGTGCCAGCACCTGATTTCGCACAGGGCTGGCAGAAGTAGCAAGCACTGAGTATGTCGGACAGATTCCGAACTACACAGGTTCAGAAAAGACACGGACGTCACATTGGATGAGCAGCGTGAATGTGAACCGACTCCAGATTCTGAGGAGCCCCTTGAAATAGCAGCTGAATCCAGACCTAGACTGGAGGAGGAGCTAGATGTTGAGGAGTTTGTAGGGTTAGACGTTTTCCCCTCCTCCCCTCCCCCTCCCCCCCGCCGCCTTCGCATCCTCGGCCGCCCCCCCTCGCGGGAGAGCAGCTGGACTTCGTCGCCGCCAAGCGCGCCGAGGCCCGCCGCCGCCGCGAGGCCAAGAGGGCCGAGGCGCACAGGCGGCGAGCGCCGTGGGCAGGAGCCATCGCCTGTCCGGCTTCTTCGAGGCCGGGCCCCCATCTTGCTGCCCTATCCCTCCCATAGGACTGGAGGGGTAGAGGGTAGCTCAGATGAGAGCTCGCGGAACTCCGCCATGCCTGCGTCCCACCACCGCCTCCCTCCTCCTCTTCCTCCTCCTCCTCCTCCTGCTCCTCTTCCTCCCCCTCCTCTTCCTCCTTTCCCTCCTCCTCCTCCTCCTCCTCCTCCTCCTCCTTCTCCTCCTCCTCCTCCTCCTCCTCCCCTCCTCCCGCTCCTCCCCCTTTCCTCCTCCTCCTCCTCCTCCTCCCCCTCCACCTCTTCTCTTCCTCCTGCTGCTGCTGCCCCCCCGCCTCCTCCTCCTCCTCCTCCTCCTCCTCCTCCTCCTCCTCCTCCTCCTCCTCCTCCTCCTCCTCCTCCTCCTCCTCCCTCCTCCTCCTCCTCCTCCTCCTCCTCCTCCTCCTCCTCCTCCCTCCTCCTCCTCCTCCTCCTCCTCCTCCTCCTCCTCCTCCTCCTCCTCCTCCTCCTCCTCCTCCTCCTCCTCCTCCTCCCCCTCCCCCTCCCCCTCCTCCTTCTCTTCGCTCGACGGATATCCCTGCGGCCCGGCCGATGCCATTATGGCCCCCAGTTTTCTTCAGCGGGTCAAAGATTGGGCACTGAGGGTTGGAGCCCCAGGATAAGAGTCGCCATCGCCGTTCCACCTGCTGCCTTTGGTTGCTGCCACCTGCCTGCCTTGCCAGGGACTAGGCCGCCATAGTTGACTGTGCTTCGAAGCCACGTGCGACATCGCAAAAGGGGCCCCGCGCCCGCGTGACTCTCTCTTTCTCTCTCTCTCTCTCTCTCTCTCTCTCTTAGTCTCTCTCTCTCTCTCTCATTATCTCTCGCTCTCTATTGCTCTCTCTGTATATATAAACATATATATATATATCCCTCTCTTTCTCATTCACCCCCTAGGTCTCGCTCTCCTGAGCCAGCTCAGCTTGCCAGATATCCAGCCATGGCGTATGATTTGGGGAAGGTCCCACCCTCGACCTTGTTGGTATCGGTGGCGGTCCGAGCACGAATGATCAGGCAGAAACTGATCTACGAGATCGTAGCACGATGATTGACAGAATGCCAGGGTTGAGCATGCGTTTGGCAAAACAAAGAGAAGACCTGCACCGTTCGAGGCCCAGTCTTCCTCAGGGCCCCACCTTTGAATGGCCCCACCCTTGAATCGCTGATTCCTTCTTCGTGGCGTGCGAAAGAGGGAGAGATAACTACATAGGGAGTGAGAGAGAGAGGGAGAGACACTAGCATTTATATATGAATATATATATGTAGAGAACAAGGGGAGTATATATATATATATATGGAGAATATATAGAGGGAGAGAGATAAAGACAGAGAGCGAGAGAGAGAGAGAGAGAGACAGAGAGAGACAGAGAGAACGACAGAGAAAGAGAGAGAGAGAGAGAAAGAGCGGGAGTGAGCGAGAACAGCAGATGCGTCCGGCGGGCTCCGCGAGTCTCCAGGGATGTCCGTTGGCGCCTGGTTCCGGGGGCAACGACAGGCGGGGGGGGGGGGGAGCGCATCGACCCCTTGTGGATCGCCGACATTATGAGCCTGTCACAGCCCCTGGCCGTGCGGAGGTGCTATATCGGTGGCCTCTCGTCGGGGCCGCGCGGAAGTGTTATGTCGGGGGCCTCTCGTCGATTTTGATCGGTGATGTCGCCGAGTTCCTGTTCGATGTGCCTCCCCCCTTGGGCCAGTCCTCCTCCTCCTCCTCCTGCTGCTCCTC